ATCTCATTACACATCTAAAGTTTTATTTTTTTGTGTTTTTAGGGCCGGACATCCCATTTGTGGCAGTGTACAAGACCCAAAGAGATGCCGAAAGTGAGACTCAGGAAAGAGAGAGTGAGTATTTCACCTGTTACTAAAGCTGCACATGAAATATGTTCCCGACGTTTTGAGTGTCCCAAAGGTCAAGAGCATAAAAATCACTGTGTCAGAAAGGATTCTTCCCTGCAGAATGATCACCTGAGGACTGAGTCACTGTATTTCTGCAAGCCAAGCCTGAAATGATGTTGGTAATCTCATTATATCCCAATGTGGCTACACTCATCACATTATGAGCAGCCCCAACAGCAATATCAGCATAATATAATGCAATTTTTGTCTTTAAGTAATAACATCAACCCTTCTGGATTATATTAAAAGCTGTACATGTCCCAGTAAATTATATCATTACCCAATGTGTTTGATTAACCTGATTAAGAATGTCAAACATTCAACCAGTGCATGAGTTTTATAGTAAAAACTGCAGACGTGAATTTGTACCTCTTTGTCAGGGCCAAACATGCTCTGCAGGGGCATATGGGGAGAATGTATCAACCAATCCCATCTCTAAGAAGACAGTGTCACACCTAGCACCCAGTAAACCACAGCTCCACTCTAGGATAGACATTTCTATCCTGTCTTTGCTCAGAGTCACTCTCATCAGCTATCTGAATCACTCTTGTCCTAAAAACTCATTGGTACTTTTTTAGCTAAGTTGGGAGTTTTCTGAAAAGACTTTGGGAAACTTCATAAATGTGGGCCCAGAAATTGTAATGGTGACAAAACTGAGATTTCTCTGCAACTAAAATCCAGAGAAGAACAGGATATTTGAAGACTTTGGATTGAATCTTTACTGTTCCTATAGAACATATACTTTATATTTAGCCACAGTTTCTTATAAAGGGGAGATCAAACTCTTTAGATAGGATTTTGTAGAATGCACTCAAGATTAGATTACATTATCTCTATTCCTAAAATTAAATTTATCTTTGGTAAAAGCAGTAACTTACCCTCAAATAACATTATGTCCACTTCACCCCTACTTGGAGAGCATTATCCCAGTTTGACAGTTTTAGGTTTCTGACTAAGCAAGCTGGGATCTGCTAAAAATGCTGAGCATGCCAGCCCAACAATTAAGCTGCAGGTGTATCAAGTTTTTTTTTTAGTGAAGTACTGTAAAAGCTCTGACCTGATTATAGACTCATGAGCTGATGTCTCTTGCAGATTATATTGTCTGAGTCCCCTTCATGGCAGTCCAGTCAGCAGTATCCCTACAGAGACAAGGTCATTTTCATGAATGTATCTAAAATATATGCTGAAATACGATGAATGATGTGTGCAGTCCGTCTCCCCCTCCTCAGAAGCTGCGTAGGACATTTCCTTCCCGCAGCTTGTATCTGAATTTGTAAGTAGGAGCAGCTGTGGCAGCCGCTGAGCTGATTTTCCTTCTGCAAATGGCTTGTTTTCTGACGCCATGGCAGAAAACAATTCCAGTACATTGTCGCCGCTGCCCGTTAGACCTCGTCCGCTGAGACGGCCGTCGGTGATAAGTCTGTGTCGGACAAAGGAGCTGTGCTCGATGAATAAGAACAACTGCTTCCTTTTTTTTTAGGAGAGAAGAGTTTCAAAATGTAGAAGGTTGCTTAGGAGCAAATCAGAGTTAGGCTTTGAACAGCAGTCGGCTGCTGCTTGTCGGGGTCATAAAGGTTGGGCCTACTGTTTAATTTATTTAATTCTGTTTCTGGTCGTTTGCTGTCTGCAGGTATTTTAGAGGTTTCTAAACTGGAGAGCAACGAGAACCTCAGGCTGACTCTCGACTCCATGCAGATGCCTACAGTGGAGTACAAGGAGATCAACATGGACGAATATAGTATGTGTTCCAGTTAGAAATATATGCAATGCCTTCCACAAGTATTGACACTCCTGGTAAAGAGAGTAAAAAGATACATTTCAGGTATTTGATGTAGATCATCCACAGTCTGCGTTCTGTCTAATGGTTTCTTGTTTCTTCTTTCTTAATGTTTTAGCTCAGAGGACAACAAGGCGATTTTTATATCTGGGATACTGTTATCCCGGGACCTGCATAGGAAGGGACTTTAAGAATGATCATAACATTTATTTAAATCTTTTTGGCACCTACAACACCCCAATATTAGGGTTATAGTTAATCATAATTAAGTTGGGAAGGTTAGCCCTGGTCTGGTTTAGAGGCCAAAAAAATATTGAAACTCCAGTTTTTCATTTAGGTAACAAGTAACTGAAACTCTGTTTTAGAGGTTTTAATCCTCTCAGATTTTCCAACTCTTATTTGCAAAAGATTCAATTCAATTCATTCTATTTATATAGCGCCAATTCACAACACATGTCATCTCAAGGCACTTTACAGTTCAACCAGGTCACCCAGTCAAATTGATTAAAAGTTTTCTAGCTACGGAAAACCAGTTGATTGCAACAACTCATTGACTCGAAGGCAATCCCTCACACTAAGCATGCTTGTAGCGACAGTGGAGAGGAAAAACTCCCTTTTAACAGGAAGATCTGTTCAGAGATCAAAAACAGTAAAATAGGCTTTTACAACAAGGTATAATTGGAGGCAGAATTACTTTGTATTGATTCATAATTTATGCATTTAGTATATATTTTACACTTTTTTAAGATCGCGATTTGTGTGACCACTTTTGCAAAATATTTGCTGCTGTAACACCACAATTTCCTCATGGTGGGACAATAAAGAGATTTTCTGTTCTATTCTATATTGTTCTCTCTTGTTCAAAAAGTAATAATAGTTAGAAAAAAGGGACATTTTGAAGTGGAACATTTAATCAGGAATGTAAAGGTCCTTATCCTACTTTTCTTGTCACATTTTCAGTTTCTTTAGATTTTTATGATTGACTGTCTGGGAGGATTTATGTTTGTAACAGATTTTTTTTAAATGGGTAAAATTACAATATATATAGACTCTACCCTAGTGGCATATTCTCTTGCACTTTCAATTTTAAAGTTACTAAGAGAAAACCTTGTTTGTCCTCCCACAGGAAAACCCAATGCAGCTGATCCCTAATTACATGTTCCTATTCCAACCAAATTATACATCAGGGTTAGATTTATTAGGAATTATTTGGGTTAAGGAAGAGATTTTTACAACATTTCTGTGGGAATGGACTACTGTATATAAAGCAGAATCCATTTTATAAATCTTTACAAGGAGTTTCAATAAGTGGGGTGGATGCAATTCATTTTGATACAGAATGCATTCGTTATGCTAACATTTGTGTTACTCTGGGTTTCAGTCTTGTCTTTAAAGATCCTAAAACCCGCCGGCTTTGTGGATTCATCACACTATCCGCTCCTTCTGCTGGTGTACGTATCTGCATAAATATGAGACGAGAAGTATTTTCTACCATCCTCAGTTCTTTCACATTGTTTTATTTTTGGTTTGTTTGTTTTTATGGCTTGTTTTTGTTTGTTTAAAAGAAATAGAACAGTACCGAGCCAATAAGCATCTAAAATTAGAGGAAACTGTCTAAAATCTTCGAAATGAGTTGCTTAATGAGCCCCTTTTACCAGCTCATTACATCGGTGTGCTGTCTGTGGTGTAGTGACGGGAACCCTGGCGGCCAATCGGTGTCAGAGCAGTTTGTCTTGGACTGGGCTACGGTTCTGGTGAGCAGCTTTGGTGCCATTGTGGTGCGCTGTGACGGTAGAGGCAGTGGCTTCCAGGGTACCAACGTTCTGCACCGGATCCATAAGAAGCTGGGCGTGTTTGAGGAGCAGGATCAGACGGATGCTCTCAGGTACAAGCCTCTTTTCACTGCAGACAAGCAAGACTTTAAAATTAGACATGCACCAATCTAATGTGAATATCTGTATCAGTCCTAATATTAAAGAAGAAGGTAGCCTGATCCATCAAAGCAGATCTATTAAGGCTATTTCTATGATATATCTAAGTTATGTTCAAAATCTCTTGAACAGTGATAGGGCTTACCCCTTTATAAGCATCTGTCTTTGCTTTAATCAATATGTTTGTTTTCAGGATGGAATTTGTATTAACACAATTTACACTTTTTTGACATTAAACTAACTTCAGGTTACATTTTGTGAAATGAATGTGTACATCTATTCCTATTATCTGCTTTTGGAGAGCAGTTTGTAACAGCCTATTACAGAAATGATTAAAGTAAACAGAGCTCTGACATCAGAAAAGTGTCTGGATCAGCAGATATCTGAATTTAATTATTTGATTTGGATTGGAAATGTGGATCTCTATTTTATGATCATAATATTCCTGCCTGAAAAAACAATATTTCTTTGCAAATTTTGGTAAAATAAATACAACCTTGCCATCTGCCATATGGATTTTTAAATGACAAATATTAATATATCTGATAACTTTTGATAGTTTAAAACATTTCATTTCAAACTATTAAGAATGAGTCTGAGAACATTTGATATTTAATTAAATCCTGTGTTAAAGCTTCAAATAGTTAGTTTTTACAGATTTTTCAGGCATTAATTTTTAAATTACATGTTGTTGTTGTTTTTTTTATAGTCTTATTCTGAATGAGCCGTACGTGGACCAAACCAGGGTCGGAGCTTTTGGACAGGTAAGAGCCTCGGGAAGTTCTTCACCTAAATAAATTATCTTATTAAGCAGGAGTTCATCAATATCCAACAATTTCCTACTTTTCCATCCTTGTCTAAAACATAGAATACTTTCAATAAGTGCTATTTGGTTAGATTCTTAGATAAAATCTAGATTACATCGTTATAAAACAAGGAAAAAACACAAAACCAAGTAGTAATGTTATCCGGTTGCTTTAGTTACGGTAATCTATATTTAGTGCATCAGTTTCTCTATAAAGCAGTAATTTTACTGGAATATGGTGCACATTTACACATTTTGGGCTGCTTAGTGGCACAGACGGTAGCAGTGCTGCCCTGCAGCAAGAAGGTTCCAGGCTGATTCCCAGCCTGGGATCTTTGTGAGTGGAGTTTGCATGTTCTCCCTGAGAATGCGTTGGTTCTTTCCGGGTACTCTGGCTTCCTCCCACAGTCCTAAAGAATGACTGTTAGATTAATTGGCTTCTCTAAATTCTCCTTGGCTGTGAGTGTGTGCATGAATGCTGTCCTGTTGTCTCTGTGTCACCCTGCGATGGACTGGCGACCTGTCCAGGGTGTACCCCGCCTCCTGCCCGTAGACAGCTGGAGACCAGCACCCCTCACGACCCAACTTGGGATAAGCGTAACAGAAGATGGATGGATGGATGGTACACATTTATATACAAAGCCTGATTATATACGTGTTAAAAACACAGTACTGATTTTAACCGGCTTCCCTTTCTACTATATTCAATACGACAGTTTCCCCCCTCCCGTAGCCATTGTGACTTTGTGCCCCGCACCATTCCTCCTCTGGCTGCGGATCACCTCGGCTTACATGCCGGTATAACCGTGGTTTCTTTAAAATAACTTTACTGAACCTGATGTACCTCGCATTAGAGCTAGATTTCCTGTCTTTGCCTTAATATTGGCTGAAAAATGCCTCACCAGATGCATCAGGTAGCGCCTGACCCCATATTCTCCATTATATGGGGAAAACACAGTTTGGTTTGTAAGTTTGGTTTTAGCCAATCATAGTAACAAATGAAAATGTGGATTCATTTGTGGAAATCTTGGATTCTAACCAAACAGATATGATAGAAGCAGCTATGTGTACATACTGGTTTGGATGTGAGCTCGGCAGCTCTTGTTTTAATCACTGTGTTTTCAGTCAAAAACCATGTCACTGCAACATTATTGGCCGACTCATGCTGCGTCAGCCATGAGTAAGACAGATAGATTCACTTACACACACACAACTCTACTGCCCTATTTTATCTGTATTTAGTGTCTATTTTAATCATTACATGCTCACACAGTCCATTATTTCATTATATATTTTTCTGTATAACAACATGGGGGAAAATCCTCTGAATCATAAAAGTCTGGGTTGAAATGTCAGTTTTTTTCTCTGGATATAATGGAAAATGACTGTCCTATTATCAACTCAAGAGAAACGATACAGAAATAATTCAGTCCTTCAGAGAAAGAATGGTGAACATAATATGAGGAAACAGCTTTGGGATCGGGGCTTTCTCAAGCAAACCAGTCCTGCACAGTCACTGCTTAACAAATATTAGTACTCAGACCCAGACCGCAGTGTCTGGAACGTAGAATTCACTTCATGTTTCAGCTCTTGTATTTACGCCTCTCGCTTGTTTTTGTGTGATAACACAGAGTTGTTGTTCCTCAGGTGTATGGAGGCTACGTGACCAGCCTGTTACTCAGCGGTGAGGAGTCTCCACTAAAATGCGGAGCTATCCTCTCACCCATCATCGACTTTGAATTATATGGTAAGCACTTCATTCTTTTTTATTTTTATCTCCGCTCTCAAATGCAAAAAGTTCCAATCTCTTCTGCATGTGTTGATGTAACTCATCAGAACTGTCAGCGCTCAGCCAGAGCTGCCAGAATATACTGGAAGGGAAAAATAAAGACCAATAGCATTTTTAGCACCTTTACCCCTTTCTGGGAGTCTGGATTCAATGTGATGGAGCAGTTGCACTTGGAACCCAATCATACAGCACCCTCACCTCATCTGTCTGAGGAATATAACCTGAGAGATAAAGTATGAGGCATGTACCAGGAGAGAGATGGTTGGAAAGACGGCGCTGTTTTAGTTGCGGGAATACAGAGGCAGGAAACTGTAAATTAAAGCAGGATCTGTGTGTCACTGTGTGACCGTTTCCCATCATTATAGTTCCTCTAACAGTGCAAATATTCCTACTGGACTTTGTATAAAAGTTGACATAAAAACAACTCAAAATCCTTCAGGTTTTTCTGAATTGTACCTGTTTGGTGAATGACCATTAAATAATATTAAATAAAGAAATATAAATACTAATTAAACCAATAAGTAAATATTGGTTTAATTAATTTAAATTAAACCAATATTAATTAATAGACAAAATGTTTGATTTTGTCTATTAAATGTAATCCACATATGGTGTGGTGTTCTTTGGAGCTCAAAGTGTTAAATGTTAGAGCAGAGGCTTATTTATTATTAGCTGCTTCTCACATATAAAATTATGTAATTAAGATAGACCAAAACATTAAGTTATTTGTAACTTATGTTATTTTAAAATATTATAATAAAATAAACAAAAATGTAATAAAAAAAAAACAATTCCAGGCGGAACAGAAACTTTTCCAAACCACTTTTCTTTCTAACATTAAATTAGTGAGACAGTTACTCCTTACTGTAGATTAGTTTGACCTCTAAATGTCATATTTTCATTTCAATTCATTCATTTTATTTATATAGCACAAAGCACACTACATGTGAATTGGAGGCACTTTACAGACAGACAGACAGACAGATTGACATATTTGGTTAGAATAACCACTTGAATACATCCTCATTGACTTGCAAGACATGCTGCTCCTGGATGAGCTTGCAGGGATATTTCTGGCTTGCATTTTGTCCTCAACTCTTCAGCAATCTCTCCCAAAAAGCATGCATTTAAGTTGGCTTGCCTACAAAAACAAGGAAACTTATTCTGAAATAACAAATGTTTTGAAACACTTTCTTTTTAATTATTTACCATGGATGCTGTAGGCAACATTTTAGTGAGTAGAACAACAGAAACGTAAAAGTAAAAAGCATGGTGTTGTAAGACTACTCCTAAAATTATATTTTTATCAAAAAGTTACTCAATTAACTTTGAGTAAATATACCTAAATATTACCCAGATTCATATGCTAAATAAGCCTGGCCAAAGGGGGACTAGTTTATGGTGCTCTGTATTTCTGTTTTACTTTTATATATGAATTTCTTTCATTTTGCAAGATTTGTTTTAAAACCGTGTTAGTGCTGCCCTCTTGGGGTTGAATGTCAGCTATTGCAGGTAAATTCACCCACTGGTTGAAACGTTACATGCCTCATCCATTGGCTGATGCTAATGTCATCATACTTACATTTAGCTCCGCCCCTCAGTCTTTCATTACTGCCCACTTTGGTGGCAAAATAAGAGTGAGTTACGCTTTAAAGGCCCAAAAGTGTTTTATCATCCATGTCTGTGGTGAATGTGTCCTCACAAAACTGTGAGTAACTGAGTTTTCTTTTCAGCTTCTGCTTTTTCTGAGAGATATCTTGGGCTGCCTAAACCAGATCCAAGAGCATACACGGTAGGATTTCACTGCAGGACCTCTACTCTCTTTACCTGTGATTAACTCAACAAAACAACAACAAAAATATTTGTCTTGTTCCTTTTAGATGGCAAATTTAGCACACAGAGCATCTCAGTTCATGGATAAGAAGTTTCTTATCATTCACCCAACAGCTGATGGTAAGGCTGCAAAATGAAATTTTTTCCTCTTTAAAGTTCAGCAAAACACAACACATCCATTTGATTTTTATGCTTTTGTTTTCTCAGAAAAAGTCCACTTCCAACACACAGCGAAATTCATCTCCCAGCTCATCAGTGAAAAGGCCAACTACACCTTGCAGGTATGTAATTTCCTTTAGAAATCAGTGTTATATATTTAAGCCTTTAGGAGGTTTCTGATTCCTGCAATAGCAGCCACCGCCTTTTCTTTATATCAAGGTTTATGGTTTTAATACATATATATTTATTGTCTGCTCTAGTAAACTTTATATATATATTTGAGCTTATTGTGATTAAAAAACATTTTGGTATATGATTGGATGTATTTCAAGGTGCTAAAAAACTTTTACATAATTAACAGCTGTACAATAGAGTACTGTGTTAAGTTCCAGTTTAGCAAACAAGCCTTTAAATAGTGGTATTAATTTTCTCTATAAACCCATACTATGGAGAAATCAAAAAGTTGTTGAAAATTCATATCAAGCACATATCTCCAATGGATATGTGGTTTGGATGTTTTAGAAGGGATTACAATCATTGAGTAATGCTTAATTGAAAGGTTTAAGTTTTGGGAAAACCTAACAAGTATTTATTCACCAAACTGGTTGGCGTTGAGTGTTAGAAGATTTTTTCAAGATGCCGTTGCCCCAAAATTCAAAATTACGCAAAAATCCTTCACTATACCTTTATCTAATTTAAGCCTCCTTCCCACTGAAATTTGCGGGTTTACACAGGATTTTTATATATGGGTTGAACCGCTAACAATCGGCATTTGGCTCCATTCCCATGGGCAAAAAAAGTTGGGTCTGATCCCCCGCTGGCAAGCTGCTTGGCCTCTGTCCCCACTGCTGCGTGTCTGGTGACGCCATCACACTGGGTTAGTGTTGATTCTGTCACCAGTGTGACAAAATCTGGAAAGTAAACAATGAAGAGAAACATGTAAAGAAGCCAGGGTGTAGTGTGCTTCATTGTTTTGTTCATTATTTTGGCTTTTTATATCAGACGTTACTGCCTCGATGAGTTGACATCCATACATTGCACCCAAGATGAGCAAACCTGGTCACACCAGTATACCCATAGTCAATACCCGTTTATCCCTTTTGTTTATCTCTTTAGTTTTGTATGAAAAATACACTTTACCTCAACGGGCGTTGTATCCCCTTAGTCATGTAGAACAAACTATTTAATAACTTGCTTTTTTGTGTTTTTTAAATCGTATGGCGGACTGACCTTAAATTGTTTTTTTTTGTACATGAATTAAGGGATACATGCCGTCGAGGTGGTTTAAAGTCTATATTTTTGTACAAAACTAAACGGATAAACGCAAATCTGACGTCGTGTGTATTAACTATGGGTACGCTGGTCTGACGAGGTATGGTGATCTGACAGAACACCGGTCAGATTGCTCCACAGTATGCCAATCGGAGCCAGGCGGTTTTAAGAAGATTTGAACTCGGGTTGCTTGCCTAGTCATTGCCATGGGTCAGTAAGCCGTTCCTACTGCCACTAAAAGCTGATGTTTCTGGGTTACAGGGGTATATTTGGAGCATTTTTTCTATTAGATTTAAAAAATATAATCTTCTGAATAACGTGATGTATATAATGGACCAATCTGAGTTTTATATTTGGTGCTGATTGTATAATTATATGTAAAATGATTTATTTAAAATGCAGCTGTAGAGACCAAATATGGGTTGAGGGATAAAATTCGATCCTTTTAAACTCATCCTGTTCTTGTTCTTACTGTTCTCTCTCTCAGATCTACCCAGACGAGGGCCACTTTATCCACAGCGAAGCAACAAGGCAGCACCTGAGTCAGTCCCTGGTGAATTTCTTCGAGGAGTGCTTCAGGCTACCAGAAAGTGTGTTTGAGGAGGAATTGGAAGAGGAGGTTGAAGATGAGGGTTAGATTGTCTTCGACAGGCTCCCAACCTCCTTTTTCTCTCCCCTTTCATTTGGTCATCAACATTCCCTCTGTCTTGTATCTGTGCTCAAGCACGGCCAAGTTGTCCATATATGTTTAACTCGCAATCTGCAGTGCCATCCGGCAGACGGATCTAACTATAACCTCAATCTTCCCTTGTTCATCCAGAGCCCTGACTTGGATTCTAAAAAGGCCCACGGAGGTAAAAATGACAGATGATGTTTTGAAATACACTGAAAAGAAGCAGACTCCTTTACAGCCGGATGGACATCTTTAAAAGCAATGGAGAGAATGCATAAGCCTACACAGACTTTCAAGATGTGATGAGAGGAAGCACGTTATAGCACACAACCTTTGGGCTTGTATATAAATAAAATTCACATCCCTGGCGCTGACTGGCAGTGTTCATAAGGGGTGTCTGGAACTGTGTGGATAAAGGGAACTTGAATATTTTTAAAGTTGTGATGAACTTTTCATGGACTGTGGTTGTGTATCTGTTGTTCTTAACAGTATGTAAAATAGCACACAAATCCTCATCCAGCTGTTTTTCCTTTAAGTGTTGTTTGCCTCAATAATGCTGGTTTTATCTTTTAGGTTCGTACCGATTACAGTTATGCTGAGGTCTTTGACAAGCAAATGTCTAACGGGAAAGAAATAAGCCATTTTTGTTTGGGATTATTAATTGGACAAAGTTGATTTTGTTTTCATCCAATATTGTTTTGTGTTTTATTCACGGTGCCTTACTTTATCAGAAAACAAAGCTTAATTTATCAAAAAAAACACTAAGATATTTGGGGTTCATAACTTCAACACTATGAGATTTTTTTTGTTAATTTCAGTTAGTCTCCATCTGACTGTTTAAATTATTAAAAAGCATTTATACATGGAGTTTAGACAAAAAGATCAATATTTTCTTTCAAAAACAAAATATATCTTTAAGTTGAAAGGGGATTAGGGTCACTGTGAAAAAAAAAAAAGATGTCTGACTTTCTTAGCCTTTCATAGGTAGGTGATGCTAATTAGCTTCATACCTGTAATATCTAAATACAGACAGGCAGGTGAATATGTAGCCTACTGAGGACACAGTTCAGATTTGCTGTGATCTTATCAAGTGGTTAAAAGTGAAAACTAAACATTTTTCAAATAAAGCCTGGTTTATGCCTAATTATTTCTCTTTAAAACCTACGCCTCTCTGGTTGGCCTGATTTACCAGACAGAGGAATATTTGTAACTACGAGGAAAGCTGCTTGCAGAAAAACATGGTGGACGAGCGACAGCTTCTGCAAGCAAGAGTTTGCAAATACAAACATCTACGGGTATCTTATAATTTGGCCCATAAATATGACCAGGATCAGCAGCTTATAAAAAACTCTGAAGGAAATAACTTACTCTTGGATTAAATAATGTGGCTTTGAGTTGGAAACAGTGTGTTTTCCACTTAAACGTGTCGAGTGGTCCTGTTAGCTTACGGTCTGCCATGCACGCCCCTCTAGAGTCGGCCAGAATAGATCTAGGAGGAAAAGCCATGTGGAGTATAAAACCTGCAGACACTGCAGTCCATGCATGAGTCAAAGACAAGTGAGCACAGTGGTGTAATATTTAGCAAATTAACTCAGTTAATTATTTAAATCTACACAAGGTTATGCTATATACACATACACACATACATAAATATATATATATATATACGTGTGTGTTTTGTTTTTTTCTGATTTGGGGTTTGAAGCTTTTTATTGGCACTAGGCAATTAAAGAATGGAAATAATACAATCATTTTCATGCAATTGTATCCATTTTAAATTATGTGCATGTATTTCTACTATGGCATATTAAATCCAAGTATTAAATTATAGGAAATAAGCATACAGAATTTCATATGGTAACACAACACTTAGGTAAAAGCTTCTGGGAGTGCACAGTAAAGGGATTTCTCAGTATTTGAACTACTTACATGATGAATCCATAATGCTTTTTCAAAATCATATTTGGACTCGATATCAAAGTGTTGTTCATTGTTGGGTAGAGAAGCAAAAAAGTGTTCTGAGGAAAATTGGTGCTACTATTGCATATTTTGAACAAGTAAAACGAAAACATAGCGACCAAGTGTTGAAATAGAATCAGTGAGAAAGGAAAGCAGCCATTTCAAATTGTACATTTAAATCCGGCAATCTGAAAATGCTTTTCAAATTGAACATTTTTATTTGATTTTTTAAGGTTGCGTTTTAACTTTTTTTTTTTATTCATTTTTTAATTCCTTGATTTTGAAAATGTGTTTTCAAATCCTATTTCTAAATGTAAATTTAAAAAAAAAACAAAATTCATAAATATGTTTATGAATACCAATGCTAGTCACACATTAAAAAAAGGTATTCCTTATTCCATACTCTTTTTGCTTTATAACCATTCCTTTTACCTTTTCCGTGACCCATTTGGTCCCTGAGCAAAATGGAAACCACTTAAGCTCTGTCATTGGTTAGGCTGCCACACTTGTTAACAAAACGACCAATGAGGGAGCTGGTTACAACTGAGGAGAAACTGTGATTGGTTAAACTGGTTTCCAGTTTGCTCAGGGACCAGAAGTGTCAGAGAAAAGGTAAATAGGGAGGGGAAAGCAAAAACAAAATACCCTTTCAAAAAGGATTTGAAAATGAAAGATGAAAAATAAAATGCAAAAATGAATAATCTTTTTAAATTTGTAATTAAAATACTAAAAATAATTACAAAATGACATTCCGGCAGAGGTTATGCTGTAATAAAGTATGATTGATGTCCTACCTAAAGTCCTAACAAAAGTGGATATAAAATTCAGACATTACAGTGTTTAATACTTAAAAAAAATACTTTTACTTCCTCTTTAAACGTGACTCTAATCCTCTTTCAGAACAGACATTGTTGCACATATTCTATCGGCTAAAAAACTTTGCTTTAGGATCTAGTTCTGTTACCTTTATTCTTCTAACCCTGAGCTTGGTGAAGCCTGGTTTAATTTGCACAAGATGTCTTTTTCACTGTTGATGATATTTTTATTTCCTTCTATAGTATTTATAACTTTCTATCACTGCAGGATTTAGCTTTTGTTTTTTATTGGGCCACATAAGATATTTAACTAGGATTCTATGTTGATGCCAATCTATTCTTGTTTTCTAAAATGTTAGAAATTAGCGTAATTTTAATGCCCCTCTTTCCAAATCAAACCTTATTTTTGGGTTTGCCTTTTGGCTTTTAATGATGTATTTACTGATTTAAATTTTTTTTTTATATATATTAATATTTTCTTTTATTTTGAAAACTGGAAGTCTGTCAAAGGAGGGTTACCTTTAACTTTTAGCCACTTGAAATGGCTAATACTGTAATACAACCTTAGTTTTATGTCTCTTTTACACAGGGATCCTAAATAACAAGTCCTCTAAGGTCATCTTGGAAATAAATGTATTTAGGCACAAGTTTATTTATACCATATTTTACCTTATTTTTCCTGCACTGATGTGCATGATCAGAGGTCCTTTGCTGCACTTCCCTTAGTTCATCATACATTTTGACATGCTGAATGTTTCTTACAGAACTGCATAAAATATGTTTGCAGTAGTATTGTGATTGAGATCACGGTCTCGTTAGCTTGATGTGTAAATGTTCTAATATCATTTTATTCTGAAAAGAAAAAAACTATGTTACACGAGTGTTATTAGTGCATTACATACTTTGGACGTTAACATTGGGTTGATCATTTTTGTTCTCCTGTTGCCGTCTTCGAACTGAGGTGAAGTGGACTCTAAATGGCCAATGGAAACAAACTTTCTTTCGATACGTGGAGGACTTTTTCAAAGATGTTCAACTTTGTTATCCAAAGCATAAAGAGAGGTCTTTGGCAGACTGTGGCATGAAAGTAAATGTTAGAATAAAAAAAAAAAGTAGATATTTTATCAGTCATAAATGTTTTGGCTTTTTTTTTTAAGAATGCTGGAGTTTATCCATAATACATTTTCTTTGCCAAGCATTATTTCCCTACAGCAGAGCAGTTGTACTGCATTGTTTTCAACAAACACTTTACAACATAAATAAAAACTGCACCACAGCAGCCAATGGTTAACGTAGGCAAATTATCCATTAGAGGCACTGGAGTAACAGCCGCTCAATATTTCCAAATATAAAGGCCCAGTTCTTACATTAGAACAAAACAATGAGGTTACTGTGATTGTGTGTTTGTTTTTTGAGTCATGGTAGCATTATAATCATTTCTTTACAGGAGCATTATCCAGATTATCATCATGGCAGTCTAACCTACTTTCCTTTCAGTCTGTAAGAAATCCTGAGTCATCTGAAACCATCTCCTGCACCAAGGAACTTAACTTAACCAAAGCAAATCTTATGAGATCATGCTTTTAGAAACTTTTACAAAACCAAGTGTTTGGTTTAGTCTCATGCTGTGTTTCAGTGCAATGAGATGTGTTAGAAACCAGCCTGTAAAACCTGTCATCCAGCAAATGTAGTCCTTATTACTTTGGTAACATGGTGTAAATTCGTTTTATGCCATGTTCCCAAAGTATTGCATCATAAAAAACAAACTTTTATGGTGTTTGTGGTGTTATTTACCTTTTTTAAACATCTTTGCCACTTTGGCTGTAAAATGGAGCTCTCTGCTATGGGGTCCTTATCTCCAAACCATGAAAAAATAGTTTGTATAAAGCCTACTGAAAAGAGATGTCGTTTTATGAGTAATAAATGTATAGGGGCATGAGGTCTTCAATTATTTTGGGCTGATATGGATAAAAATTATTTGTTTCAGATGAGTCTGTTGTCCTTGAGACACTATTTTAATACTATTTAAACAAATCTTCAAGCCCCTAGACTAAAATTCTAGTAAGCCCTATGAAACTACTTACTGTAAAAGCTCTAAAATAGAAGTAAAACAGAATAAAATGGGAAAGTGAACGTATGAAATAGACAAGATGGCAAACATAACTGTGAAAATGGTCATTTAACTGCCTTAACAGGTTTAAGAAACTACTTCAAATGATCCCAGCCGGGACTAAAAGCTATTCATTTAATAAACTTCAGCCATTAAAGATAAAATTAAAAAAGGCAAAGTAGAGAATTAAAAGGCAAACTGGTTCCGCTCAAAACAAAAAGGATCAGTCAGTGAATTAAATCAGACTTAATCACCAAGTGATTTACTTCCATCTTTACATAAACAGCGGTTATTGTTTCAGTCTTCAGAAAACCTTTTGTCTTTAAGCAACCAAAAGCAAAAAGTCACAAGCAATAAAATCCATGTTCCCACAGCAGGTATCAATGCTCGACTTTGATCTTTGGATACAATATATTAAAGTGGTTCAACTCTGGTTTTTTATTTTAAATTAAAAAGATTAATTTCGGTTGCATTTACTGTATTTTCAAAGCAGGCAAAAAAAGCAATCCAAATCCAGTCTTTGGCAGCTCAGAAACATATTCATTTGTTTTGAAAGCTCCTGTCTTATCAGTCATTTCATCCTACTTTTACAGCCCTGCCCTGCCTCCAAACAGATTCCCCTATAAAGGAGCTGCAGTCACTGCTCCGCAAAATGCCAACTATAAATAGTCATGCCCTGTCTTTTCTGACCTTTCCTTTCCTTCATCTTTTTATGATATGCTCGTGCTATTGTTGGCTCTGAATTTTCTCTGAATATTGATGCAAAGACATTCATATTTATTCTTACATAAATATGAATGTCTTTGTATCAATATTACACTGAAAAAATACTTTCAGCGCTTGTTAGAGGTTATATGGTGCGTTCACATCGAACATGTTTTAGACTTCGACCACACATATATTTTGTCATTTTGTAAAGTGTAAACAAAAAGAAATTT